GCCCTTTCAGCGGTGGGAGCGTTATAATGTGACGGTCAATCCCACTATTCGTTGGTAAAAGAGTAGCCCAAGAGTTGGCGGAGGGTGGTGATGACTAGCTGTCTTCCCTCTAGTCTTACACTGCTAAATTAGGGACGGCTAGCGCAGATAGCCCTTGTGTAGCTTTGCGCGAAATTCAAAACAAACAAACAAACTGAGCTTGTTTACGTGGGTTAAAATGTTTCCAGGAAACATCGGAAATTAAGAAAAAATCCAAGTCAGGTTGGATATTATTTTTATTTTCGAGAAACTTTTATGATACTACCATGAATGTCTTATTCATGTAACAGCATTTTGACTTTAAATGCTGATTTTCTAACATGGGAGTATAGTAACTACAAAAAACAAGTACTTCTTTGAAATTTATGTATCAAATGTGAAAAAAATAACAAAACAGTGGTATTTTTTTATTTCACTGCAATACGTTTTTCAGATCAACCATACTATTAAAATGTGCTGAGTGAGAACTATAGAGCACTTTCAGAACAAATGAAAGTGCACTTGGAAAAGTTTTTGTTTTGTTGAACTTAGCGCTAAACTACACGACAGATGTTTACGCTAGCCGTTCCTAATTTTTAAGTGGTAGACCATAGGAGAGGCAGCTAGTTAACTCCACCCACCTTCAACAATTGGGAATTGATCGTCTCTCTTATAACGCACCCAACGACTCAAAATGGGATTTTTTATTTTTTTTTGTAGTAACGGGCCTTAAACCACAGAATCTCAACTACACAATCAGGTACGCTAGCCAGCGGGCCACAATCGGTTCCACTTGGATAGGAACTTAAAGTAGATAGCATACAAACTTCGGTACGATTCTGGCCTGTCAGTGAAAGGTTTCGATAATTTTCATTTACTGGGACAGTTACATATCTAGATGTTATCTACAAGCAATTTTATTTAAGTTTTTAAAATATAAAGAAAATCGTCAGTCAGTACAGTAACAATACACTCTTGTATACTATCTACCTTATAAAGAAAGAAGTAACAGGATTCAGCTTAATGAGCTTATTTCTCGCTGAAAAATCTCAAATTAGCAAATAAACAAAACAACTTCGCATTCGGCATAAACATATATTTTCAAACACTATACCGACTCCCATTGATGTATATTAGGTTTATGTACAAATTAAATGAAGTATCACTAGTCACAAGCCGTATTCCTGGTTAGGTTTATGTACAAATGAGATGAAGTATCGCGAGTCACAAGTTGTGTTCGTCGTTAGGTTTATGTACCAATGAGATGGAATATCTCTAATCACAAGCTGTGTTCCTCGTTAGGTTTATGTACCAATGAGATGAAGTATCGCTAGTCACAAGCTGTGTTCCTCGTTAGGTTTATGTACAATTGAAATTCTCGTGAAATATATCTATCCACAAGTAGATTTATGTACAAGTTAGATTTTCATGATATATCCTTATCCACAAGTTTTGTTCTATGTTTAGTAGTCATGAGATTCTCGTGTATTATCTCTATCCTCAATTTGTTTTCTTCAGTAGATTTATGTAGTAATAAGGTTCTGATGAAGTATCTATGATAACAAATTGTGTTCCTTTTTAAGGTTATATACTAGTGATATTGTGTTATTGATATGAAGTTTCTTTATAACATGTTTGTTACATACTATTTTCTCTTTCAATATTTTTTCATTACATTATACCATCGATACTAAAAACCAATCTTAGAACATTGAAGTAGCGTTAGGCTTAAGCATTCACTTTATAAACACTGTGTGTGTTTTTATTAACGTGAAGCAATCAATTTTTTTATTTTCGGTATTGTTAATCATCATAATAAATTAAGGTTTAGTTATTTTAATCAACATTTTTATAAAGTAATAACTTCGGTGATATTCAATCGCTTCTTCTTATTTGTCAAACAGTTTTGAAGTAACTAGGTTGCGTACGTATTGTGTTTTTATATTTGAATAAGAAAATTAGTCAGAATTCGTAATACGTTTTTGAATGTAATTTCTAAGGTGGATCTAATTATATATAAAACGTGTCTCTATAGAATAAGTATAGCAAGGAAAGCAATGTATTATACAGGTACTGTTTGGCTTTTCTCACTAGTAATGTATGGTTAGATTGGTAAGATAAACATACAGATACATATATGTATATTTGAAGAGTATAAGAGCGTTAGAACTGGGAATATAAATGGTAAGTTAAATTAATTTACAAACTTAAAGTACTTTGTTCGAATTAAGTTGATTCATTTACTCCAACAAGTAAAAGAAGGCATGTCTCTTAACACCAGTATTCGTGTAATCAAATAAAGCAAGCGTTTGTAATATAGCACTAAAACGGAAGCCATAAGTAACGAGAAGTTCTCCCAAGAATCACATTTATTTACTTGGAAAACTTACAGAGGAATCTTATTAGGTTGAAACAGAATGGTATCGTTTTTACTCTTTCGAGCTATGATCTCTGTGGAACGCTAAAGTTGCACCATCTTGCAATAACGCCACGGCATTAAATGTTTAGAGACTTAACAGTGGTTTTTTTTATAATCAGTCGAAAAATTCAGTTTGCTTGAGATGAACTTATAAATATACTAACAAAAGTATTATTGTGCCATTTAAGAATTAAGAAGTAACGAATAGCGAGTGATTTTTAGTCTTATTTAGTGTTGTAGTAATTTGTTTTATTTACCCACACCTTGAAGTAACGGGTAAAATAAGTCATAGCAGTATCGGATTACTAATTATAAAAAAGGCACTTCGTTATAACTTTTCTTATTGAATTAGATTTATTTCATTGCTTTCTGAGGCTAGGACTTATTTCTTTCAATACCCCGTTTTACCAGCTGATATTTTTTTCCACGAAAGTTTGTCCTCATTTTGTATTGAGGAATGTTACGAAGTTTTCTTATAAGTGTGTATAGGACTGGGTGTGGCCTAAAAATTAACGCGCACGAACTACTTTATCAACTTCATTCCATATTGATTGTGGCTAGTATAATATATATGTACTGTGTTAAATGTAGTCAGTAACTGCTTATTTTATCAATCACAGTGTTGAATGTAACTAAGAGCTGCTTTATCCACTATGATATGATTGACTGTCTAAGAATTACTTCTTTTATTACTATGTGTTGGCTGTTACAAGGAAATGTTCGTTTTTGTTCACTGTGACGAAAATTTATTTCTTTAATGATGTTCATTGTTGATTGTAGCTAGGAACTACTTTAATCATTTTCAATACTAATTGTAGCTACGAACTACTTTAGTCACGTTCTGTGTTGATTGTAGCTACGAGCTACTTTAGTCACGTTCTGTGTTGATTGTAGCTAGGAACTGCTTTAATCATCTTCAATACTAATTGTAGCTACGAACTACTTTAGTCACGTTCTGTGTTGATTGTAGCTACGAACTACTTTAGTCACGTTCTGTGTTGATTGTAACTACGAGCTACTTTAGTCACGTTCTGTGTTGATTGTAGCTAGGAACTGCTTTAATCATGTTCTGTGTTGATTATAGCTAGGAACTGCGTTTATCACGTTCTGTGTTGATTGTAGCTGAGAACTACTTTAATCATGTTCTGTGTTGATTATCAGAACATGATAAAAGTAGTTCCTAGCTTATTGATTGTAGCTAGGAACTACTTTAATGTAATCAACACAGAACATGCAGAACATGATAAAAGTAGTTCCTAGCTTTGTTGATTGTAGC